GCTGTAAATGGGCTGACCATTAGGGAAAACCCTATAGATCTGGCATTGCACACATGGGACAAAGCAGCAGAAGACTCAGATCCTACTCTTAGTGAGGTCCACGGCATTGCACCAAGATGCACACAGATCTTAGAGACTTGCAAGTTCTTTTGCATCTTCCATCCCAGCTCTGCCCAATGGAAGTAGTGAAAGAACCACCAAAAGAGAAATGTCACCTCTTGGGGTTTTCTATTCCCCACTTTACTGCTTCTGGTTTACCTGAAGTAAAATATGGGTCTCAACTCTTAGGTCTGGCCAACCTGGACTTCAAGCACTGCTTGCGGTGTAGGGTACCTGTCCGTCTGCTTCTGGAGAAGTTTTGGGCCAGTTTAACCCTACTACAAGTCAGGGCAAACTCAAAGATGCTGTTACTTGGATTGAAAATTCTAGCTCCTCTTGGGGTTAAGAGGCTGTTTAGCATGTTATAGTCATACCCTGCCATCCCCATCTCAAGGATAAAGGGGTATAACAAGAGCTAGTTATCCTTATTTTACATCATCTGGGAATAACCCAAGGAATTCCAAGTCCTCCACGTAGGAGAACATTGTTGGTCCTTCTGGACTTGCACAAAGGGACTGTCTTAGGATCAAGAATCTGGGGCAGAGACACCGCGCTTATGTACTGCTGCATTTGTATGGTGAAAGCTGATTCAAATGAACTCACAAGCTGGAGATTATTATCCTATTTTGTATTGTATTTGTCTTTTCAGGAAGTCAAACAGCAAAGCCAGCACTTTAAGATCAGCATAATTAAAGCTCTGTAGGTAAATCCCTGGATAACAGCTTGGAAGGCTAGACATCTGCATAATTCTCCTTTTTTTTCCCTTACTTAATAATTATTAATCTTCTTTGACATACACTTATTTTCACATCTCAAACACTGTTTTCCTTTCACTTGGGAGCCTTCAACATTACACTTAGGAATTGGGAATCAAGGCTGCTCATAGGGATTTGTTTGGTAAGCACACGTTATCATGTGAAGTGGAACTACTTGTGACATTTTCAAAAGCGATGAATAATTATACATCATAAAAATTGTTGACCGAAATTCTGCTTTGCTGTGACATTTCAATCCATGGAACAAACAACCCCTCTCCCTCTGTACAGCAAAGATATCCCAAGACTGTTAAAATATGACATGGGTAAAATCCTGACACCACTGAAATCAACAGCAAAACTCCCTTTGGCTTCAATCTAAATGGACTTTCTCCCATAGATGTTCTTCCTTTTATGTCATTTTACTTCATCTGGATGTCAATTGGACATCCAGAGCATGAAAAAAGAGAGCACTCGGTATTTGAAATAAAACTTGTGTCTCCTCTCCTACTAAGCAACACCCATGCCTTTATGCACAAAGCAAATAGATCTTTTACAGGCTGTGGAGGGGAAGGGTTCTCAGTGAACCCACTTTTATTCCAGTTCAGTTCCACAGCCCTCTGGGGTTATATATTGGCTGCTCTTCATGGAGCCATGAACAGAGGGATGTTTATTTGATTTTAAAAAATCCTGTAGGAGTTATTCCTTCTATTGCTATTCACTTCCTTATTAATATTTCTGGACAGAGTTCCCCCCAGGCAATGTCTACCTTGCACCTAGAATCATAGAAAATGAGTGCAACCCCCTGCTCAGAGCAGGATTATCCCCAACTAGACCATCCCAGCCAAGGATTTGTCTATCCAGATCTTAAAAGCCTCCAGTGAGTGGCAAGAACCATCCAGGGTTCTCTGCAACACCTTTTTCAAACCCATGGTACTTGCTTCCATCCTGTTTTGGGGTTTTTTTTAGCATTTTGCCCCATAATGTATTTTCTGGATTCTTCCCCAGGTTCAGTAGCGTTCTTTATACCGTCATCTTCATTGCAATACTGAACACCTCCCAAAAGGGCATTAAGTAGTATGACCAACATCGTCATGTGTTTTGTGTTCTCTTCTGCTCTCCTCAGACAGCAGCACATGCTCTGGAATATCATGTTTGATTTTCAATGACACGTGCTGCTATGTATTTACGTTGATATGACAGATCCAGAGATTCTCACCCAGACAGTGCCAGTTTCCAGCACAGCTTCCAATCCTAGATACTCCTCATCTCCTTTCACTCTTCTGCCCTGACCCTTAGGGACCAGCTCTTGTCCACCTTTGCATTCAAATCATTCAGCTTCCTCCTTCTGCATGCTAATAGAAGGACACTGAGAGCATAGGAGTCAGGCTTCTTGCTCTCAGTTACCATGTCTGGAAGCAACCTAGCTTACAACAGCCTAGCGCTACATTGCAACGTAAGTCTAACTCTGTTTTGGGCCGGAGCATCTCGAAGTGGAGGTTTTAGATATGAAGTTCTAATGATGCCTACTGATGATTCACAAAATACTTTTTCAAGAGCTTGTAACCTGGCAAAACTTGACTGTTCCTATGCAGACAAAAGGACACAGCCCTGGCATAAAGGTAACGTACCCGCTAAACTGCAAGAGTCAACACTGGAGTTTTTCACAGATATGGTCTTCTGAGTTTCACATCTCAGCAAAACAATCCATTTTCAGTACTTCTGTTTTCAGGAGAGGCTGAATTGCTTTAGCTGAAATTTTTCAACTCCTCTGTCCCCACCCCCAGTACTGGGCCCTCAACCTGAGTCAGAGACCCAACATGAAAAAATGTAATATTTGCTGAAGATATAAGAAAGCAATGAATATAGTGACCAATAATAGGAAGTGTCAGGCCACATGAATAGGCAGTACTTCCAACACTGTCCATTTTACATTACATATTTGGGGCCAGTCCTTACTAGGTATTCCATTAGATGTCTCCCAGCATCTGACATTTCTCCCAAAGAGGCCAGATATAAAAAAATTACCCTTTTACTAGTATAAGTGTTCAGAAACAGAAACTTTGCAAAACAGTGCTGTCCCCATCTTTACCATTTTAAATTCCACTAGCATTTCACATTTTTTATTCGTCCATGAGCATTTTCAGCTAGTTGCAAACACATTATTTTCGAAAGCCAGTAACATAGTACTTCTCACTAAGTAGGTGCAATGTCACCATAGCTTGAGATATTCAAATTTATGCTCTTTTGTTTGAGACATGCAAAAATTAAAGTTCTCAGTTATCTTTGTACACACAATTTTGAACCTAATCCAAAAGTCCATTGAACTTAACTATATTTGCTTCAACAAGGCTTAGATCAAGCTGTTATTTGTGGGAAGTACTCAGGGGGGTTATGTGGTTTAATTAAATAAAGGTAAGAGCAACAGCTGAATTTTGCAAATAGTGAATAGAGAAAATGAACAAATTGCAGGTTGAAGTTTGCTTGTAGTAACTATTAGGGGTATGCGAAGCAGGTCCTATTCAATTCGGATTCAGCCCGAATCAAGCACAGTGATTTGATTCATTGATTCGGGTCGCTATCCCCGATTCAATTCAGCCAAATCCAAATCTGAAGATTCGATGCTGATTCGGAGAATCAGCAGTTTGGACATAGACACAGCTTTAAACATTTTTTCTACATGTCTCAAGATACCAGGTACAGCTCGTGAATGCTATTATGCTGGGGTGGATGGAGCATCCCGCAGAAGTGCGGGGGGGGCCCTCCACGTGCTCTTTGGCAAACTTAGAAGTGGACCGGAGGTACTTCCAGTCCACTTGCAGGTCCGCCAGGGAGTGCACAGGGTGCCCCACCCCCACACTCCCTCCCTCGGCTCAGCAATTGGCCACAGGGGATCCTGGGTGCTCCCCCCTCCAAACCCAGGAGGCACCAGTCACTGGGGTTGGGTGCTCCCCTGTGGACCCAGAAGTGGACCAGAAGTACCTCTGGTCCACTTCCGGATCTGCTGCTGAGCACACTGGGGAGCCCCCCGCACTTCTGTGGGACACTCCATGCGCCCCAGCATCGCAATGTTCACAAGCCGCCTGCTACCTACAGGTATGTAGGAAAACATTTAAAGCTGTGTCTGTGTCCAAATTGCCAAATCTTTTTGAATCAATTTGGAGGGTTCCAGTTTGATTCGGAGAAATTAAAGGATCCTCTGATTCGATTTGGATTTGGAGATTTGGCTGAATCTCTGCCAAATCAAATCAGGGACCAAAGTTTTGCACAGCCTTAGTAACTGTTGGTTAATGTCTCAATAAATAATGCATTTGCTGAAATCTAAATGACCTCACAAATGCCACATGGACAGAAAGAGGGCCAAATTCAGCAAGTAGTTTATTTTTAAATGACTAATTTAACAGGCTCCAGCAAAGGGCTTCTTGGGCAGAGACTCTGCTTGTTCAAGTTTACTTTCTTGTGATCATTTATTTATGTGCTGTATGAAACCCATAAGCTTTTGTAAAAGGGAATCTCACCTTTCATTAAGTAAAATAAGCCTACCCCCTCTTTCCTTGTGAAATTGCTTGATGTGTTGAAGGCTATGTAAAAACCAGTCCCTAAAATGAAAAACAGTAGGAGCTGGTCTTCACTTTGGCATCAGGAGGCTGAGTAAGTCATAAGAAAACCCTGAAAAATCTATGTAAGTACAGTTCATTTAAATAAAACGTTTGGGATGACTTTCCAGGCAATCATTTTGATAACCCATCCTCAAAAGTCCTAGGCTGGCTCTTTGCTTAGTGATGCTTCTCCTAGCTGGCCTAGCATGCACAAATTACCAATTATCAACTTGACAAAATATCTTAATTCCAATGCAGTGTTGTCCATAGTGCTGAGAAGAGGATTGTGTCCTCTAGAACAAAAGCATCAACCCAGGAGTCATCATCTATAAGGCTCTAGTGACACAATCTTTCTATGTTTACAGTCTATGAAATATATAGAGTTCAGAGCTGGCAATTTGTCCTTTTGATCTGTCGGACCTTTATGACTTTTTTGCAATTCATTTAAAAGCTTGGGCATGAGTTGCGCTCCTGCCAAACTCAGTTTGTGTGGCGGTAGCAATGTTGTTGGAGAGATTTATAAAAAAAAAAACCACACAAAACTAACCTTTGAAGCTTCTGTTGTTCCAACAATTTCCAGTCCGAAATAGCAAAGAGTTTACAGTGTAGAAGTGAGATTTCATTCTGTGCCCATTTTCTTTAGCTGGGATCTTTATGGCTGAAGTCAGGGGTGAAGTCTGAAATTTTGAAATTGATTACAGGATGAGAAAGGAAAATCTGGGCGCTCTATTTTAGGTTCCAAATGGCTCCTGTAACCTGGTCCGATTACAGGAATCAACGTTAATACTTGAATGATACATTGAAGCTCAGATGATTAGCACAATAAATTTGAACCATTATTTCCGATGGTTTTTTAAAAGGGGTAACTTAGTACTGTCATTATGGCACAGTGCAATATAATTTAACCGGGGGATAGAAAATAAAAGCACAGAGCATGGAGCTCTTAGTAACTGAGTTAATGTAAACTAACAGCAACTCCAGTCTATTCTGGGAAGGCCCTGGTTAGCTAAAAGGGGTTCTTAGTACAAGATCATGTTCCTAAGTCAAATCATCTCAGAATATATTAATGATGAAAATATGGATGGGATTTAAACAGCAGCATTTCCCAATATGCATGCAAGAGGTAAAGCAATAAAGTAGCCACTAAGACATGGCAGTGTTTTTAGAGCTGATAACTTTGTACCTGGGTTGTGTCATGAGGCATGAAGACACAGGTAAAGTTCTTTCAAATGAACATATTTGAAGTGTTTATTGCTATTATATCATGGAAAAATGATATAAATAAAATAAAATAAAAATAACATTTTTATTTAAAAAATAATTTGAGTATTGTGCAGGTAGGCAATGTGCAAGTGTCCTGACACAATTTCACCAATGCATCTTTATTACTGTGTACGTATTACTACTGTTTGCAGTGTGGACAAACATTCATGGTGGACTAGTATGACATCTTTTGTCACATTTTTTCTGTGATATTTGCAAAAGCTAAACATAAATCTATGCTGAGACTTACATCATGTACTCCTGCTGCTAAAAACAAGAGGGAGAATAGGTCAAGCTTAATATATTAAACGTTATATTCTTTCTTTATACCAGCTACATTTCAGTTGGCTGAAAAATCTGAGTGAGAAAATAAATTGCAAATGCTAGCCTTCACGTTTTATTTTTGGAGCTTAAAAAAGAAAATTGAATATTATGTCTGGCTCCAAATCAAGCACTTTAGAAAAATGGCCTGGACTTTCCCTGTGAGCTCAGTTTTCAAACATAGAACCCTCTTCTGTAATGTTCAAGACCCAGATCCTGAGGCTTGGAACCTAACATGGTGACCACTACGGCTTATCAAAAAGTTTCCATTTTGATGGAAAATTAGATTTTCAACAAGCCAGACTTTTAATGGAAAGGGAGCCTATTTGTCTGTACAATTGTTTAATTTTATTAGAGAACCAAAAATTTTTGATTGGATGGCCGTTTTTATTTTTTTTGACAGAGTTGAAAATAGCTTCAAGGAATAAAACATTTTCAGATTCACTAATAGCCAACTTTGGAAAATATTTCATAGCCCTGTCTTTGAAGTAGATGAGCTTCCAGAATAGTCCAGTGACTAAAATTGAGGACACTCTCAATTTAGTGGCCTTGGGTGCTTAAGTCAGCCCCTTGGACAAGGACCCAGCAAAAAGCACGTAAGCGCAAGAATAAGTGACTTACTGAATATGCATAGATATAAGCATGTTTGAAATTAAGCACATGCTTAATTGACTTTGTCAGGTCAGAACTTTGTGTATCAGCCTGGGTAATTTAATCAGTCTAAATAGTAGTTCTCAGCCTTTTCTGGACTTGAGGCACCCCTCCATAACTTCTGTGAGTTGAGTAGCACCAATTTAAAAAATGATGTATATATTACAGTGCCAACTTTCTTGCAGAGGGCCCAGGCACTGGGGGCAGGGTATTGTCCAGGCATGGACAAGCCCAAGTCTATGCTTATCTCATCACACTTTGAGCACCTTTCAAAGGATTTGGCAGCATCCCAGGGTGCCCCAGACCCTGGCTGAACATCACTGGGCTAAATGTTAATTGAAGCATTCAATAGTGCTTTATCTTTCCACATGTTTCTAGGTTTAAAAACTAAGCTTCAGCTGCATAACCAGGGGTAGGAGAGCTGAGCAACAGTCCCAGGCACCATAGGAGGGATGGAAGATTGGTGGCCACTACCAGCCCAGCCCCTGCTGCTGCCCAACATGCAAAACCTGCTGATTATACCTCTGCTAAGTTCCCTGAATCAGTGGCAAAGGAAATTATATGGCAATATTTCTTTCCTTCTTTGTTTGCTCTCTCCTTTCTCCAGATCTTTTGCAAAGGATTCCTCCCATTGGTTGTATAAATTAATGCATCCCAGTCTGGTGTTAAAAAAATGAGAGAGAGACTGTAATGGGGATGTTAAAACTATACACATCTTGTTATCTAGATTAAACAGTTCTTGGTAGTGCTGAAGCTGCAGTAAAATTTAATTCTTCTTGTTAAAAGAGCAACTCTTTTATTTTATTCCATCTTCAGAAACATGCTGTTTGTTTCCATCAGAAACTGATTTTGAAGGTAACAATTTGTCTTGTATAATAAAGCACCTGCAGCTCTTTCTTGGCTTGGAGCAAAAGCTTTGTATCTTTAGAGAGCTTGGGTATAAATTTTAAATAACTGTGCAAGTAACATGCAGGGATGTTACCTTTGACCCTTTCCAATGGCAGCTGGAACAAGTGCATCTGGAACAGAGAATATCTACCCATGTCTGGGTCTGATTCAGAGGCTGCTAAAGGCAGTGGAAGATTTTCTCTCACCGAGATCTGTAATCTCCTTGGGGCAGGATCTATTTGTCTTGTGTTTGTACAGCACCTAAGACAGTGGGATTCTGAACCAAGATGAGGGACTTTTAAATATGACAGCATTACAAATAATTTTGAGTGGGCTTTTGGGTCTTTGTTTTACTTCTTTGCTAACTGCATCAGTGAAAGGAGGGCTGTGCATTAGGGCTGTGTGAAGTTTCAGGTGACGATTCAATTCGGAGGAGATTCAGCCCGATTCGGTGGCCAAATCTCTGAATCCAAATCGAATCAGGGGACTAATTTAAAGGTCTGAATCAATTCAAAATTCTACAAATCTTTTCCAAAGATTTGGAGAGCTCTGATGATTCGGACAGTCCCTGGTGGCTGCAGCAGGGAACTGCAGCTGACTTTGAACTGGTAAGTACTACGGGTAGGGGACCATGGGGGGACCCCTGCCAGCCCCCCTGACCGCTCCTCCAGCCCCTCCATGGCTGCCCTGGCCTGCCCCAGCTCGGTACTTTGAAAAAAAGCACCAGTGCTCACCAGGTGCTGCCAGGAGGGAGGGTGATCCCTGCTGCTCCCCACTGCCCCACACTGCAAGGGGGGGGACTTTGCATGAGCCCCCCGACCCACCCCACTCCCCCAGCCCCACCATG